CGTTGTTTTGTGGGATTTTCTGTGTTTTATTTATTTGATGTTTCAATAAAACAATATGAAGGACATATTATGAGCTCTGCTATTACTGTATTGGTACTGGGGAAACAAAGTCATAGAAGCTAAGGCTGATTCTGCTGTGTCATTTATATAAATTTAAAAGAACACAAAACAAGAAAACAAAACTTCCAAAAACTTTGTGAACTATTAAAGACATCCCATTAATTCTCTAAAATTAATGAACTAGAACAAAATGGCATCAGGTTATAAAACATGACACAGAAAATAATTCCATTTGGTTTGATGCTTAGACTAAATCTTCAGACCAACCATCCACTGGAACCCTGAGGAGAAATGTACCTAAATTCCTACAGCCAGATCCCAAAACAATAAAATATGAACATAATAGAAACAAACAAATATCAGACATAGAGTTTCATAGAAACTTCATATATTCCCTGTCTTAGATCTGGTTGCAATCTTCACTTGTTACAGAAGGGATAGGAATGTGGAAGAAAGTATTGCAAGAAGGAGCAAAAAAAAGAGTGCATTTCTCTGATCATCAGATGACAGTGTTTGGTTAGTGCTTTTGGTTTTTCTTCCTTAACCATTTTCCATAAGGCTAGTTGACTTGTAATGTAGCAGGGGCCTAAAAGATTTTCAAATGTGGACTTATTTTTTTTCTTCACTTTGAAAGGGCTTCCATACAGGTTAACTTGGCCATGTTGATGGTTTACAAAGGGGTGTGTGCATGTCTGCTTGTCTGTCTGCCGTCTCAGGGGAGTAGTGACTTGCATGAAGAGTAGAAAAAAGAGCAATGTGGTATCAAAAAATAAAGGGTAGTAGGAAAGAGATTTGAGGCTGAATAAAGTTTCTCTGGTTCAAATAATTTTTTTTTCTTTTTCAAGTCAATTTTTTTTTTATTTTTTATTTTTAAATTTTTTTTTCAACGTTTATTTATTTTTGGGACAGAGAGACACAGAGCATGAACGGGGGAGGGTCAGAGAGAGAGGGAGACACAGAATCGGAAACAGGCTCCAGGCTCTGAGCCATCAGCCCAGAGCCTGACGCGGGGCTCGAACTCCCGGACCGCGAGATCGTGACCTGGCTGAAGTCGGACGCTTAACCGACTGCGCCACCCAGGCGCCCCTCAAGTCAATTTTTAAAACAACTTATATCATGTCGTTGGGAAAGGTGAAATTCATTGGAGTTTGATATTTTACAGGAAATGAACAAAGTGAGAAAGGAAAGAGGGAGGGAGGAGAGAATTTTCTTATCACAAGTTTCTGAAAGGAGCCATCCCCAGTGTTTATGGACTGCCACTTATCATTGGAGATACATACCATCAGATAATGAAAACAGCCCCCACATGTTTTAAAATCTCCCATTTAAAATTTAAATTCATTAGTTTATGAGCTGCTGGGAATTGACAGCTTTACACCCCAATCCTCCTTGCAATTTATGTAAAGCATGCCATAAAATGCAATAGGGGAGCATCTCCAAGAGAAAACACCAAACACAAATTGCTAAATAAAAATGCAGCTGAAGCCGACTTGCTGTGGGTCATATAACCGAGAATGTCGTTTTTATTAAGGGGAAGTTCTTAAGCATTTACTCCTCACCCAGCTATGCTTTTTTACCAACATTTAAAATATTAATGTACTGTTTTTATTGCTTCCCTCCTCTAAACGGTATTTGTGTTACTGGTCCCACACACACGAAATATGTCCCATGTATCTGCAATGTGGCAGGTGTTTCTTTTTGGGTAGCAGGAGGGTGTGTGAGCCTCTGAGTGCTTTCTTTCTGACAGTGTGTTTTCTCTAGACTGTCGTGTCCTGACTTTAGAAATTTTTAATTATATGACATCTTGATATATACCAGAAATTAGACTTCAGAAACACATGGAGCTTTGTATCTGATCTGTCTTCAATGTGGATATTTAGTTCCTGCTTTTACGACAAAGTTCAGTAGGTCAGGACTGTGAGTTTAAGAGGTTGCCAACAGGAGGGATAAAAGGTGAATGAAGGAACCAGGTTTCCAAAGGAATGATGTATCTGCAGGGATCTCCACACATGTTCTCTCCAAATGGGGAAGCCCTGAACGCCTTTTACAGTTCATGTTTTCTGAATTATGTCCAAGAAAATGTTGCCTATTCTAACATCACCTTCTACAATGCCACCACGTTCAATACATGGGAGACAGGATGTGCAAGAAGCTGAATGATCGGGCCGCCACACTGGAACTTCCAGGCTAACATGGAGCGTTGAACTTACAAAGGCTCAATGACATGCAGGGCTCTTCTGAAATTATTTTAGGCAAACTCTGATTCCACAAGAAAAGGACTCTCTGCAGGCAGGGCCTGCTCTTCAACTTGGTATTCCCAGCACATGACAGCTCATTGGAGGTGCTCACATGGCCTCCAGGAGATTTTTTTTTCCTCTGCATGGAACAGCCATACCAGCCACACCACCCTTGCCTGGGTGAGCACTCTCCTTATAATACTTCACCGACCTCCTCCTCCCTCTTTTACATTGCTTTTCTCATTTTGCCTTACATTGTAGCCATGTTTTCTTCTCTTCAAAAATATGTGTCAGGTGGGAGCAGACACTATCTTTTATATTTTCAAGAATCTCCATAGACCTTTGTACAAAGAACAATAATCATGTGGTGGGGAGTAGGGTGTGCCTGCAGGGGAGTTTTTGGATAATCCATCAGGCCAACTAGCACACTCACCAGCACCTCAGACAGCATGGGACACAGAGCAGACACGCAGTAAATATTAGTTAATTGAGAAAGTATACTTTTTAAAAACATTACTTATTTTGATGGGGTAAGAGGGGCAGAGAGAGAGAGAGAGAGAGAGAGAGAGAGAGAGAGAGAGAGAGAATTCTAAGCAGGCTCCATGGTCAGCGTGTGGAACCCAGCACTAAGCTCTATGTGGGGCTCAATCTCACAACCATGACATCATGACCTGAACCAAAATCAAGAGTTGGATACTTAACCAACTGAGCCACACAGTGCCTCAAGTATACTTTCCATTGTAAATGTTCTTGAAGGCAGTGACTGAATCTTAATTTCTTTGCATCAGTGAGGGAGATCATCCCTGGCAGTGCTCCTTTCAGACGAGAAATCAAATAGGACTCACAGTTCTTGTAAAACTTAAAGAAAACCATGCCATTCCCTTATCTTGTGTCTAGGACAAGATAAAAGGAAAGGAGAAGCATGGAAGATAGGCCAGGCTTCACAAAGCACACGGGATATGGGTAAGCACCAAATGCCCCTGGCAAAACAAAACACACACTAAAAACAAAAAGCAAACAAAATAAAAAGGCAACACCACGTGGAGCCAGAAGATGTTTGCTAGATATTACAAAGAGCCAGCCAGGACCAATCCCCAAAATGTCCCACTGACTCATTCCTGCCACCACTACTCCATTACTTTAGCAATTCCCTAACTGGTCTCCCTGCTCATTCTTGACCCCTTTAATTGATACACTACACTGAGGCTAGCATGACTGTTGTAAACTATAATTAATTCATGCCATTCTCCTGCCTAAAATCCTTCATTTACACCCAACAGAAAATAGGCCAAAACACAACGTCCTTCATCACAAGACCCACACTCACTTTTCTGCTCCTCACTGGCCACCTTCCACACATCTGCATTCTTCACTTTAGACACAGGAACCATCCTGTCATGGCTCTGCACCTGCTGTTCCCTTTACCTAGAGCATCTATACTCCTTCTCTTCCCAATACTCAGATCAAACCTCGCCCCATCCCAAGGACCTTCAATGGTCCTCCCAGTTGAGCCCCTACATGGCAGCCATTTTCCAGTTAGTCTATTTGTCAAAACTAAATGTGTTGTAGTTACAAAGTTGTCTTTGATCTCTGGAGGCTGTGTACCCAACACTTGACCTAGATTCTAGTCAGTGCTTAATAGATGGTTGAATAAATGAGTGAATGAAAAAGTATGTCTATTTAACACTGAATAGATTCACGTGCAATGCAGTTATGTCTCTGGGGATCTTTGTTTTGTGACAACTGAAATCTCTCCCTTCCTTTTATTATTTCAATCATCATTTTTAATTTTTTTTAACGTTTTATTTATTTTTGAGACAGAGAGAAAGCATGAACGGGGGAGGGGCAGAGAGAGAGGGAGACACAGAATCTGAAGCAGGCTCCAGGCTCCGAGCCATCAGCCCAGAACCCGATGCAGGGCTCGAACTCACAGACCGCGAGATCGTGACCTGAGCTGAAGTCGGATGCTTAACCGACTGAGCCACCCAGGTGCCCCTCAATCATCATTTTTAAATTGTTTTATTTTTATTTTATTTTTTACATTTATTTATTTTTGATAGAGACAGAGCACAAGTCGGGGAGGGGCAGAGAGAGAAGGAGACAGAATCTGAAGCAGGTTCCAAGCTGTCAGCACAGAGCCCCACGCGGGGCTCGAACTCACAAACAGTGAGATCATGACCTGAGCTGAAGTCGGGCACTTAACCGACTGAGCCACCCAGGCAACCCTTCAATCATCATTTTTAAATCATCATTTTATATTTAAGATATAAGATATAAGATATATGCTGTGTTAAGCAAACATTCATTTTAACTGTACATTCAAAGAGTTTGAAAATTTTGTATGCCTTTGTAACTACCATCATAATCAGGATACAGACTGTTTCCATCACCCAAAACGTTCCCTTGCACTCCACCTCCATGCTCCTCTCATTCTTGCTGCCAGACAATCACTAATTTAACTTCTGTCACTATATTTTCATTTGTTTTTTTTTTTAAATAATCTTCTTTACATAGAATCATACAGTTTGCATTCTGAGGTGGGCTTGTGTAGCTCAGCAGAATGCTGAGATTCATCTGTTTAGTTGTTTTTGTTTTTGTGTTTTTTTTGAGAGAGAGAGACAGAGAGAGAAAGTGAAGGAGAGGGGCAGAGGGAGAGAGAGAGAGAATCTTAAGTAGGCTCCATGCTCAGCATGGGAGTCGATCCCAAGACCCTGGGATCATGACCTGAGCCAAAACCAATAGTTGGACCCTCAACTGACTGAGCCATCCAGGAACACTGAATAGTATTCCATCAGATGCACATATCATGCATATTTGTTGACAGACATATAGGTTGTTTCTAGTTTGGAGCTATTATATATAAAGATGATATGAAAATTAATATATAAGTATTTGTATCAACATAGTTTTCATTTCACTTGAGTAAAATACTGGAAGTATCACTGTTGGGTTGTATGGTAAGTATATGTTAACAAAGAAACTGCCAAACTGTTTTCTGAGGTGGCTGTACAATTTTACATTCTCTTCAGAAATGTATGAGCATTTATTCTGTTATTCCCTGTCTTTTCTAACACTTGGCATCATCAAGCTTTTTAATTTTAGCCATTTTAGTAGATCTCTAATTTTTTAAAGCATCCCTTACTTAGCAACTGTTTCCTTGTTGTGAATTCTAGAACCTAGAGGAGTTGTATACTTCCCTTAGGAGAGAATGTTAACTTGGTTGTAAGACTCTTTGGCTATTGAGCAGGATGCCAAGATAAAAAGGACTCAAGACACAAATGATGAAAGGTAGGGACAAAGTGAGATCCAAGTGGACAAGTCCACAGAGAACATGTATTTAGAGAAAAAATAAATAAAAGAATGTGACTTAGAATTCAGTTTAAGGCTGAGAAGTTCACAGTTATGTTGAGGAAAAGAAAACTCATGGTTTCCTGGGAGCCCACCTCTATTCCCTAGATTGGCATAGGCCTGAGCACTGAAGAGGTCCTCAGTAAATACTGGCTGATTTCCTTTTTAAGGATGGGGAGTACTTTGTGGCATTGATGTCATTTTATGTTATTTTTTAAAATTTATTTCTTTAAATTCAAGTTAGTTAACACACAGTGTAGTATTGATTTCAGGAGCAGAACCCAGTTTCACCACTTACATGTAATATCCAGTGCTCAATCCCAACAAGTGCCCTCCTTAATGTCCATCACCCATTTAGCCCATCCCCCCCACCCACCTCCCCTCCAGCAACTCTTTTTGTTCTTTGTATTTAAGAGTCTCTTATGGTTTGCCTCCCTCTCTGTTTTTGTCTTATTTTTGCTTCCCTTCTCCTATGTTCATCTGCTTTGTTTCCTAAATTCCACATGAGTGAAATCATATGATATTTGTTTTTCTTTGACTGACTTATTTTGCTTAGCATAATACACTCTAGTTTATCCACATTGCAAAAGTCAAGATTTAATTTTCATCACCAAGTTATATTCCATCATATATATGTACCACATCTTCTTTATTCATCAGTCAATGGACATTCAGGCTCTTTCCATAATTTGGCTATTGTTGATAGTGCTATATAAACATTGGGGTGCACGTGCCCCTTTTAATCAGCACTCCTGTACCCTTTGGATAAATACCTAGCAGTGCTAGGTATTGCTAGGTCATAGGGTAGTTCTATTTTTAATTTTGTGAGGAGCCTCCACACTGTTTTGCAGAGTGGCTGAACCAATTTGCATTCCCATCAACAGTGCAAAAGGGTCCCCCTTTCTCCACATCCTCGCCAACATCTGTTGTTTCCTGAGTCGTTAATTTTAGCCATTCTGACAGGTGTGAGGTGGTATCTCATCATGGTTTTGATTAGTATTTAACTGATAATGAGTGATGTTGAGCATTTTTTCATATGTCTGTTAGCCATTTGGATTCTGGAGGTTCTTTGGAAAGTGTCTATTTGTGTCTTCTGCCCATTTCTTCACTGGATTTTTTTTTTTTTTTGAGTGTTGAGCTTGATAAGTTCTTTATAGATTGTGGATACTAACCCTTTATACAATATGCCATTTGCAAAAATGATGTCATTTTAAATGAAGGCTTGATAATTTCTTATCAGAAAGACAGACATAATAAGGAAACACATAAATTCTTGTATCTATTTCTTATTGTTACTAAGTAAGCCATAAGCTAATGGGAAGCAAAGTACTGAAACTACCTAGGGCCCTTTTCCTTATAGTGTCTCCAGCCATACAATGTACATAATTGGTGATGAGTAAACACTGTACAGTGTGTTTAGAATGTTGTTTAGAATGTTTAGAATGTTGGCCTAACATACAGGTAGATCCAGCAGAAAATAGTTTGTACATATTTATTTTTATAGTAGTCAATTTCTTGAGAGCTCGGTGTCATATACACTTTGCTAAGGAAGTTGTATGTAGTATGTCATTTAATCCTATACAAGCTTAGGAGGTAAACACTATTATCACCTTCATTTTTCCCTGGAGGAAAATGAGACAGAGAGAGTAAAGTAAATGGCCAAAAGTGAAAAGGGGAGTAAGTTGGGAAGTCCAGACCAGAGTTTAGATCCAAGTGACTCCAAAACTCTTGCTCTCAACTGTTATACTCTGAGCCGAGACAAAGTGCCTATCAGAAGTCACCCAGCTTTATCAACCTGCATGTTGTCGAGATATCTACCATTAGACATTACTCCTTTGGTAGAAACTGTAGGATGTTATTATCCATCAGTAACACGGAGCCATGGGTAACTCTCATCATTAACACTAGTTACTATCTTGGATGGTACAAAATGGGCATTTTAGGAGCAGAGATATATGGAAAATACAGGAAAAGCATATGTATGTTTATGTACCTACCTCAGTAACCTCATAGGGCAGGCAAGGAGCAGAATGAAGGAGACAGAAGTGCAAAACCAAAAAGAGAGAGAGAGAAAAGGAAAGGTATATAGATGAGATGGTGGAAAAGAATCAAGGACACAGTGGTTTTGATGGACTCTCCTGGAAAATGACATTCTCTATACAATCTTATAGCAATAGCACATATTTTTGCAAGGACTTCAGATCTAGGTTCATGTATGGTTCAGCCAGGATCTAGTAGATATCTGGTAAAATATGTGTGAGGCATGGTATCTAATGTGAACATTGGAGACACACAATTTACAAGATTATTTTGGGGATTCCACATGATGAGCATCTCATAAACCGCTTGCCACTGATTATTCAACAAACCTCATCTTGTTTCCTTACCCCCCCGCCCCCGGACCTTTAGGATCAAGCAGCCTTTGTTGCACAGGTGGTCACAGAGGCGGAAGAACCCAAAGGCCATGTCCTGCACAGTGCAACTGCCTCAGAAGTGCAGGAGGCAGGTTGTTTGATCTCATTCTGCTCTTAGAACACATCGTGCTGTTCAAAGGCTCCTCCACCACACTCCACACATGCACACAGACACACAATGAGCAACGTGGGAGTCACATTGTCATTGTGCCACCTTCTCGAGCTCACCTACTCTTTGCAAGAGAATGTCAAGATTTTAAATAGCATTTTACTTACATCATTTGAAACGGGAAATGCCATTCATCATCAAGCTACTATCTGTTTAAGTACTTTGTGCATGGTGATTTGGTATGGTTGATAACTGTAATTAATGAGATGGGGTCTGTTATTTACCTCAAAACAAGTTTTCTTTAGGGACCCCATATGATGGAGTGCTCTTTGCATAATATGCTTCCTTAATGAGCACAATTGTTTTTTGACCAAAATGTTATCTGCAAGCTTAGCCCATTAATCACATTGTTAAATACATACCAAATAAATAATTGTGTAAATAAATATTTTTTAATCTGGATGAAATCTCCTCTTCCTAACATTATTCTCAAAAATCATTTGATGATTCCCCAGCTCAACCACTGACTCAGTAGAGCTAAGAATCCAAACCAGGTTTGGGGGAAAAGAGCTCTGGGTTCCATCACTACAGATCTGTAGGGTGACGTTAGAAACATTAGGCTACCTGCAGAAAAACATTTGAACCGGGGTTGTGGTAAATCATAGGAAAAGCTCATGATGACAAGAAGCTATTAAATATAATGTTCTAGAAGAAATTTTAGTGACATTGAGAAATGCTTAATAGATTATTGTGAAAGCTACAAAACACCATATATGGCATGACTCCCATCCTGTAAGAGTGTATATGTGTGAGATGCCTATTATATAAACCAAAGATGCCCTCTGTGTATTGACTCCTAGGATGTATAATTTTTTACTATAGGCTGAGACACATTTTTACACATAAAATTATTTTAATAAGCAGATTTTTAGCCACTTAGAGATTGCCTACTTTGCATTCCCCTGAAGCTGCACTCAACATCTGTAGCATAGATAAAATAAGTCCAGGGCTATAAAGACCCCAAGCTACTGCTGCCCTTCAGAGCTTTCTCTAAGTGTTTTTTTTTTTTTTTTTTGTTTAGAGAGAAATAAACCACAAGTGGGGGGGGGGGGGGGGGGGGGGGGGCCCCCGGGGGAGGCAAAGGGAGAGAGACAGAGAATCCCAAGCAGGCTCTAAGATTAGTGAAGAGCCTGACAAGGCAGACACCGAGCTTGATTCCACGACCCTGGGATCCTGAGCAGAAATCAAGGGCTGGATGGACCCTCAACTGACAGAACCAACCAGGTGCCCCTCTTTTTAAGTGTTTTGTTTTTTTTTTTTAAACTAATCTCTACACCCAACATGAGGCTCAAACTCACAACCCCAAGATCAAGAATCACATGGTCTTCCAAAGGAGTGCAGCCACTCTGGAAAACAGTGTGGAGATTCCTCACAAATTAAAAATAGATGTACCCTATGGCCCAGCAATAGCACTGCTAGGAATTTACCCAAGGGTAAATACAGGAGTACTGAGGCATAGGGGCACTTGTACCCCAATGTTTATAGCAGCACTTTCAACAACAGCCAAATTATGGAAAGAGCCTAAATGTCCAACAACTGATGAATGGATAAATTGTGGTTTATATACACAATGGAATACTATTGGCAGTGAGAAGAATGGCATAGAATAATACGGCGATGAGAAAGAATGAAATATGGCCTTTTGTAGCAATGTGGATGGAACTGGAGAGTGTTATGCTAAGTGAAGTAAGTCAGGCAGAGAAAGACAGATGCCATGTTTTCACTCTTATGTGGATCCTGAGAAACTTAACAGAAGACCATGGGGGAGGGGAAGAAAAAAAAAAGTTAGAGAGGGAGGGAGCCAAACCATAAGAGACTCTTAAAAACTGAGAATAAATTGAGGGTTGATGGGAGGTGGGAGGGATGGGAGGGTGGGTGATGGGCACTGAGGAGGGCACCAGTTGGGATGAGCACTGGGTGTTGTATGGAAACCAATTTGACAGTAAATTTCATATAAAAACAAAACGAAAACCAAAAAACAAACGAACAAAAAACAAAGGGGCCAGCAAAGCACCCCATGCCCTTCACAGCTTTCTGACCCAGAGACTCCCCCCATGCTGTTGAGCCACATCACTTAGATCCCTCTTTTCCTCAAAGGTCCCATGCCCTCCTCCTCTTCATACTTGCTGCCTCCAGGCATTAGCCTCTGAACAAATGCCTGCCCTGAGGGACATGCCCAGGCAAGCCTGTCCTTGGAGAGCCCAACCAGGCCAGTGTGTGCTGCTGCCACCTTGTGGTCATGTCTTTTTTCCTTCGCTTAGCCCCCAGATCCCTTGGATCTCTGAAAATGTCACCTTAGGTCTCTCATCTCCAGGAGGTCTAGAGAATACTGGCTGCAATATCATATCACCAACCCACATTTCTACAAATATTTTCAGTGCTTACGATGTGATTTTTACCTTTGTAGGAAGCTTCTGGCTTCTACTCATGATTGCTTCACTTCAATTGATTCAAATATGAAAATCAGTCTTCTTGCCTTCATTTCTACATAAAAATATACTCATACAACACATTTGTGCAACAGACGTAACTGGAGGTTTGATGCTGAGTTGGAGGATGTTTTACAATAAGATCCAAGTGAACATCGAGCTCTGCTGTTCTTGGAAGTATTTTCTAGAAGCCCTCCCACCACAAGCTCCTCTCTGGCCCCTTACCCTTCCTATTTCCTCACAGATTCTCTCTCTTCACTATCTCTTCTCCCCCCCCCCTACTCCCCGTATCAGCCCCCAATAACATGGTGGTCACAGGCAATTTTAGCAGGAAGGGGTGGGGCCAGCATTGTGCCAGAGTTTTAGATTGATAGAAAAGAGATGAGTGGGTTCCCAATAGCATCTATCATCTTGGGGATACTTTTTGTTTATTTACAATAAGCATTCTGGGTTTTGAGAGATGTGTCATAGGAGAAGAGACACAAAATCTTAGAGCCAAATATGCTACCCAAAAGAGAAGACAAATAAAATAAACAATACAGAGCAGCAGGATACCCAAGAAGGCACTTTTCAAAGCTTACACACTGCAGAAATTCTGGGGAAAAGTGAGCTTGAGTGCCCAGGAACCTGGTACCTGGCAGAGGGGAAGCAGAGCTTGAAACTCTGTTAGGGGGATGCTGTGGGGGAGGGGCCATGGGAAGAGAAGGGAAAGGTAGAATGACATTTTAGAGGAGGAATGTGATCTGTGCAGTTGCCAATGTGAGAAGTCTGGGGAATTCTGACTAGTCCAATTTGCCTGGAAAAACGGTGGGAGGAATGAAAAGTAGGCTCTTATAAGAGAGCCAGATGGAGCTAGATTAGGGAGAGATTAAGATACCAGGCTAAGGTTCTGCACTATACTTTAAGTCAGAGTTTCTCTAATTGAGAATATGTGAAGCCCTCTGTGTCTCTCTATAGACTTCAGTTTAAGAAGCATTGCATGACTTGGAAAGGGATCAAAATCTGCCAATACATTAGATTCCCTTGCCAGGGCATTTGGAACTCTTCCTTTTCTCCTAAGTCTTAGTCTGTCTCTCTCTTTCTCTTTCTCTGTCTCTCTCTCTCATACACACACACACACACACACACACACACACACAACTTTGCTTTGCAGGAGCCTCACTTCACTATTTTCATTTGGAAGTTTTGCCTAAATCCAAGAATCCCTTTGTCCTATTTCTAAATCACAGCTCACATGTACTACCACCTTTGAGACTAAGTGTTCAATCATTCAACAACCAGCCCCACGACCCCTGCCATTGTTCCCATCTACTACCAAGTAGTATGTATAAGCCTGAGCAGCATTTGAGAAAAGAATCTTCCATTCCCTCCATCCCAGTCTCTCATCTCTCAGACTAAGTGCAAGCTGGGACCCTGCTCAGAGTTATTGAATGGAAGGGCCAGTAACGACTTATCAGTCTGGGTGAGAGAAGTCTATTACCTGCCAACCATACATCAAGTGGTTTTCATCTCAGGTTCACACACCATGGCAGGAAGCCCACAGCGGGAGCAGAGCAGTAAATTCTCTCCAGGGCTAATAAAACTTTGTAGTGGGCAACAACGACAGACAAGGTCTTGATTGCAACATGTGAGGTGGCAATTTCTGAATGAGTAACCAAATCTATATTTCAAAGTAAAAACTGAGAGATGCTTTCAAAGGAAGGCATTCAACAGAGCAGGATTCTACAATTGAAAGCACAAAATTGGGGGGTGGTACTTTTCACCAGAATATTATTTACCATCTCACTGTCCCCGCTTGTTACAATTCTTCCATCTAATGTGTTTGGTCCTATAGTTTTTCAAAGAAGGTGGGGTCCATTTTTCCTTTCTGTGACTCACCACCAGCTGGATCACAGTAGCAATGAGGAAAATACAAAAGTGCTATACAGAAAGGTTCAAGGTTGGGGATGAAATGATGTGAAGTTCCTTGTAGTAGGTTGAATAATGGCCTCCAAAGCTATCAGATCCTAATCCCTCGAACCTGAAAACATTACGTTATTTGGAAAAAGAGTCTTTGCAGATATGATTAAGTTAAGGATTTTGACATAGGGGGCTTATCCTGTATTATCTGGTTGGGCCCTAAAAGCAATCACATGTATCCTTATAAGGAAGGCAGAGGAAGGAAGAGGCAACAAAGACAGACAGAAAGGAGAGGGCAATGTGACCATGGGGACAGAGATTGGAGTGATCTGGACAAAGAATGCCAGCAGCCACCAGAGGTGAAGAGATGAGGAACAGACTGTCGCCTAGAACATTTAGAAAGAGTATCAGCAGGCTGATATCTAGATTTTGGCACACTGAAACTGATTTTGGATTTCTAGACTCTCAAACTATTAAGGAATAAATTTTTGTTACTTTAAGGAATCAAGTGTGTGGTAATTCGTTACAGAAGCACAGGAAACTAATACATTCCCCAGACACAATCCCCTTATATAGGATACTCTTGGAAAATACCCAGGAAGTATTTCTGCCTGGGCATCACACCATTGGTTGTAGAGTAGACTTAAATACAAAACTGCCTTATTTGGAGGACTGGAGTGCCCATCTCAATTTTACTGGAAAGTCAGAGCAAATTAGAATAGGCTTACTCACAGCTCCAAAGGGTTAAACAAGCCTGTGGCTAAATCATCCATCACTCCATGAATTCTGGCTCATTCTACCTGCCACTGGCTAAGGGCATAGGGACTATGTCTCATAGAAGAACATGAGAGATGTTGATGGTGATGCTTTGATAACAACTGCCAGATTTCTGAACCTAGGAGAGGGTTCTGACTGGCCATTCACCATTTCCTGTGGTGTCCTCTCCCCAACTCCCACTCCCCAACTCCAAAGTTTAAAAAAAAAAGTTTAAAATGAATAGTCAAAAACCTCAGTATCAAATAAAAATGAATTGTAATTTGGCAATAGCCTCCAATCATATACTTGTGCTTTCAGCATC